TTGTGTGAAGCAGGAAGGAGATTGAATCAGAGATTTTAAAACACACCTGTAAGTGTGAACAGAGAGAGACAGAGACAGAGAGAGAGAGAGAGACAGAGACAGAGAGAGAGACAGAGAGACGGAGAGACATCACAGAATGTTAGAATGTTTCAGGGTGCAGAAGGGCAGCAGAGATGATTATTTCAGGGAAGGGCCTCTCCAATTGTCTCAGCTTGGATGGACCAATGTGAGCCAGGAGCAGAGGATATTGTGGGTGAAAACCTCAAGCTTAGGAGGGCATGCCAGGGAGGCATGCAGGGCGAGGCAGACAGGTCTGCTCTGGGAGGGCACCTGTACTGTACTGTGACCTGTCAGTGAGACGGAGGCTCAGGAAGACTTGTCATAGAGTGATCAGCAGCAGACGTCCCCAAATCTGGGTAAAGAGTGGTGCTCACTGTGGCTGGTGGCGCTCACTCGTCACCTCTTTGACACAAGAGGATGAAGAGTTGCAGCCCTACCTGGGAACTGAACGACTTAGACCCTAGCTCAAAGTTTAAATTAAAAATAAGAGGCGAGGGTTGGAGCTTAACGTGAAGGCCCTAGGTACAATCCTTACTACCACACATGTTACACACGCACGCACACATATGTTACACATGCATACACACACACACACACACACACACACACACACACACGAGTGGTCATGCATACAAGAAAACCATTCAGGATATCGTTGCCATGGTCCCAAGGAGTGCGTGACCAACCAAAGCAGCAGGCAGAGCCTGAGGGAGGGAGTGCACCGAGTGGCCAGGCTGAACCCCAGTGGGTCGTGGCCTGTGCTTTCCCATCCTCCTTCCTTCCAGGGCTGAACCCAGAGCCACTCTGAGAGCAGCAATTGTGTATGTGCAGCTAAACCCCTCCTGCGTGGTTGCATGCAGGTGCCAGGAGAGCTGGGGCAGTGGCTCTGGTGCAGAAGGGATGTGTTTCTACAGCTTCTCAGGGGTAGTTGTGATGTTTCTTTCTAGTGATCTCCTGTGCTGCCATTCTCAGTCTGCTCAGCGGTGGAGAGGGGCGCTGTGTGAACCCCAGAGCAGTGCCTGCCGAGGCCACAGGAGCATGTGTGCCTGGCATAAGGTCCCTTCGCTAGGAAGCAGCAAGGCCTGAGTTAAGACCAGAGTTTTGAATCAGGTGCATTTCCTTCCAGAATACCTGCATTTTCTATTATGACACTGCTTTTTTTTTTTTAAATAGCTCTGCCATGTATAATTCCGTGAAAATAGGGCAATAACTGGAGATTTATGGGTTGTTACCACATCTCACTTGGAATACTGCTGTTGGTTTCTGACTCACCTCTGGAATTTAATTTTCTTCTTTCCCAGTTTCACTTGCTTCCAGCAGAGTGGAGTGACCTTCTACAAGTCAATGTCAGTGGTCTTATTATGTCTTAAAAATGGTAAGGACTTCCGTTTCTGTTAGGTAGACCAGTTGCTTAGAGAGGCTGGGGCGGGCCCACTGACCCAACAGCTTCACGGGGCCCCTCTGGCTTTGCCTCTCGGGGCTCTGGCCACACTTGCTTTCTGTCAAGCCTAAGCGCGCTGCGCTTTTGTTTCTGTATGGCACACATTTCTCTGAGAGCTTTTATTCCTTCACATCCCAGCTCACACTGCCAGCGAGTCAGACGGTGACACACACGCAGCAAAACCAAGCGGCACGGCACAGGCAGAGCTTCCACAAATCAGTGTGTGAGGTCACATCAAATCTTGCTGTTTTCCTCTGTCTTAGTTGTTACCAGATAGGAATTCGTGTTATTTTTTGTTTTGTTCTCTTACCATCTGACTCCATAAAAATAGTAAAACTTTTGCTGGGAATATAACTAACACATAAAGCATTCTCCAAGAGAATTAGCGAATTCGTAAATGAACTAAAGTGATTCTAGATTAGCTAACTTGTAGCTGAAATTAGCTTTGTCAAAAACTATTTAGGATTGAAAAAAACTTTTATTTCTGTAAAATAAACTGTAATGTATGTATTTCTTAATACCTAAATGATATGATTTCCCTTGAGATTTTACTGAAATTGTGTTTCCCTTTCTGAAGTCAGTATGTTTCAGTAATCAAAGCTGATTCAAACAACTTGGGGTTATGACCAAACTGACATTTTTGTATTAACCTGGAAATGGTGCTATAAAAAGTATCATATCCCAATTTAGTGCACTAGTGAAAGACAGACAAGCGTCATAATTGCCTCTAAATGTCACATCTTTATTACACTAGCTAATTAAATGAGGCCTTTCTAGTCCAGCTCCACTGAAAATGATTTTCAATGTGGGATTGTTTTCAGTGTGTTATCTGGGATTCTCCAGAGAAACAGCCTAGGTGGGAGATGACAAGAAGACACTTGTTAGAGAAATCGGCCTGGGCAATTGTGGGTCTGAGAAATCCCGGAACAGCGGGTCTGTCACCTGTGATCCTGGGGTGCAGGTAGCGTGCCTCAGTCCAAATCTGAACCCTCAAAACTGGGGAACCCAACAGCATAATTCTTTGTTTGGAACTGAAGGCCCGAAAATCCAGGGAGGCCGCCGTGATGAGCCCTGGAGCCCAAGGCCAGGGAGCTCGGGGCTCTGATATCCACAGCAGGAGGGAAAGGCGGGTGTTTGGCCCAGGGGAGCAGTGCACCCAGCGGCCTCTCTTCTGTGGTTTGCTCTCCAAGACTCCTGGACGGTCGGATGCACCTGTCTACAGTGAGGGCTGACCCATACTTGTCTCCTCTGGAAACACACCCAGCCGCCATGTAGGGCCTGAGCAATTTCTAGGTATTCTGTAATCTAAGTTCCACTGCCCCTGACGTCAACCCGCACAAGCAATACTTTATTTTTTCCTCAAGGATGAGTTCAACCCTGTGACTATGTGTACTTAACAAAGGAGGCTTGGAGAAGGCCTTGTGAAGGCGGCTTCCAGAGGCAGTCAGTGCTCAGTGCTCAAAATTGCTTCCTCCAGCTCCAGACGGAGTGACTGATTGGAGGGCAGGATGGAGTCTGGCAGGAGAGTCTTGCATTCTTGTCTACAGATGGGCTGTCGAGGCCTACTGACTTGACATCCATGATCATCCAGCCCTTCAATATCTAAGAGCCAGATAGAAAAATAGATTAGAAAAGTACCAAACAAGCAAAAACAGATAGCTTGTCTAGTCTACAATTCTATTTAAAAGAAAGGCAATTAAATTTCAGTGGAGGAAGCTTTAAAAGACAGAGATTAAGGTTAGGATTGCCATGGGGAGAGTGCTGGCACTGGGGCCAAAGTTCGTGATATGGATCAATGCTCCCAACGATAGGGTCTTGGTCTCCTAAAATTTCCTAAAATGATTAGAAGGGTCCACAAAGCCGTGTATCTGTGTCTCCAAAAACACGGTCACATTATCTGTATATTCAGTCATTTCTCAATGTATATAGGTCATTGTTACAAAAGTAAGAATTATTTTTAAGTATTTAATTCATAAAAGCACTTTTTCTCAGTTATACAATTTCTCAGTCAACAGATTATCAGAAAATTAGCTGTGCAAAATTAGAGAGGTCATCTTACTGACCCCAGTAAACACAGCTGTAGTGCCTCCACACTGCTTCTGAGGTCTGAGAGGTCCTGAGACTGTCCTGAGTGCTGCCTGTGATCTCTCCTTCCGCCCTCTCTTGCCGTTTCCAGAGGCTTCATCATGCTGTCCCGGTCCTCTCTAGTCTGCAGCACCTCAGGATCATGTCCCGGCTCTCCTTTTCTTGCAGAAAGTGGAGATATCATTAGGATGGTTAAACTTTGAACACAACTCTACTGACGCCCTGAGGACATCATGAGAGGACAGTGCCGCCGAGAACTGCGTAATCAGTGTCACTGCTGCTGCTCCTGCAGCTGTGCCCATTCATCAGGGTCCAAACTTGTTGGCTTTTTGTTTATCTTGCTGCCTTGTTTAGTATGTGCCCCCATTGCTTCAGTCCTGCCCTGCCTGCTGGAATCTGCCATGTGCACAAAGGATCTGATGTTATAAGATGGGCTTTGTCCTTGAACAAACTATATGTTATCGTTGTCTTATCTTACAGAATAAGCCTGGCCCACAGGGCTCACGGGTGCAATGTCCAGGCAGGATTTTGAAATTATCCAGATGCTCTGTCAAATTGGTCTCCTTCTCACATCTTTGAAATCAAGATAGTTTGTCTTGTGTGTTGTTTATTAACTACATGATAACACAAGTTCTTTCTAACTTCAGAATTCTCAGATGCCAACAGTGACTCATGCGTTGTCTTTTGTTTTTTCCTCTTGCCCTCATTAGCATTAATTAGTTTGACTGCGTCAATTCCATTAAATTGTAAACCAGGAAAAGGAATCGGGATTAGCTGTGTGATGGTTGGGGTTGGATATACAGCAAGTCTTTGTGAAAAATTAACTTGGAAACAAGTGTATTGAAACATTTCTATACATCTTTAAATCCTGAAGTGCACCTGTTGATTTCCCCCAGATGCTGACCTTCACAGGTCATCAAGGAGTGCGGTGAGAAGTTTGTCACTTGCCCCTAGTCAGAGGCACTGATAGCGTTGGGCACAACTCCTGGATTCCCGATTCTTAATTTAAGAAATACAATTCAGCACTAAAATTAAGGAAGAGTTTTTGCAAAAGGCGCAGGTGATCCTAAGGAGATGCAATATTTTTAATGACCTAAAATTCTATTTATAATGATAATTATTGGGTGCATATGAGAAATAGAAATGAGAATGACCTGGTTAATGTTTCCCCAGATGAACCTGGAGCAAAGATTTAGAGGGGATTAAATAAAAGAGAAGAATCTGGGGCTCAAAAGAATGTCCCTATGTCTTAATATGGCAGCAAAATGCCACATTCACTTGGCCTCAGTGGAACCGGTGCCTCTGAATAAAGAAATACTTACTGCGGATTTGTGCTATGACTGGGACAGCTTACATTATATTGAAAGTACATTAAAATGATGTTGCAGGCTGTACAGAACCTTCTGATTTGTAATTTACTATCAAGCAGGTTTTGAATTTTAATCATGGCAATTAGCAATATTTAAGGTGACAGAAACTACACAGGTTTAACACCAGGGAAGCCCCTCTGCTTTCTCTCTGTGTGCCGTGGAAGGTTTGCTGGAGAAAGTGCACAAGCAAGTAGTAAACAGAGAGCAGACAGCTGGACGTGTGCTGTGCTCTGCAGTGTTTCCGCACCTGTGAACGCGCAGCACCCTCTCTGTGCACCCTGCGATGCCGGTTATTGCCAGAGTTCAGCGGCACCAGCTCGTGAGGCTTCACGGTTCTCTGAAATCTCGGTGCTCTGAGGTGGTGTGGAACTTGGAGTTTGAAGCCAGCTCTTCCTGAGACCAAAAGACTGAGGGCCCATTGACTGGTGACGTGGTACCTTGGACCAGGACATTCTGCGTCCGAGTGAAGTAAGGACCATTACAGACATACTAACTAGATTTGCTTTAAGCTCACACCTTTTGTTGCAACTAAAATATGTCTTCAGTTAATTTTTCTTATCTTAAAAATTCCGAGTTTTGAAGTTATTACAATTACTATATCTAGCGCATAGGTCTGAAAATCAAGTGGCTTTCTGGGAATGTGTTTTAATCACGACTTTTCTCCTTGGCTTCCTGCTATTTCTGATAGATGGTTAGAAAATTTAGGTTGGTTTGATTCAGACAGGTCTGTGTGTAGACCAGAGGACTCAGAGGACAAGCGGTGGCTGTTTTACTCCTGGAAAGTGGATAAAGAAACCTCAGGTCTCCTGCCTACATTGCAGCAGCAAATGAGAAAGCTTTGGTTAACGAGGGAGCATTAGAGGAGCGGGACCACGAAGAGGTGATAGTGTTTGTTGGTGCGACGCAGCTGGTGGTGCTTGGAACACAAATTTGGGGCTAGCATTGAAAACAGATGGCAAAATTCTTATACTAAGAAAGTTCTTTCCCCTACTTTCCCCAAATTACACCCCTTTTCCATTAGTTAACTGTGGCAGCATTAATGACCTGGGTCTTTGGTCTAAGGCTTTATCTGGGCTTCCCCTGTGGGAAGTGAGCTTGTCAGTGAAGGAATGAATGATTTTTCCAGGCTGGGTTGACAAAAGGACCTTGGCAAAGGCAGAGTCTGGGGAGGAAAAAGAGGGAATTGGTGAAGGAAGCAGACAAAGGGTGCAGGGCAGTTGGTGTGGGAAACCTGATGGATCGACTGTAGCCATCCCAGCTGACCAGAGGCTGGACCTGGGGCTGCTGTGAGCTTGTGCTCTGGTGTGTTTTAAAATGAGCACGCAGAGCTCACCTCAGCCTCTGCCTATTCATTCTCAGTACGTACCTTGTTACGAAGAGTTGTTTGAGGTCACCACGTTTCCAAAGAATGCTTCTGATGCTTTTTAAAACATTGACAATGAGCTTCCATAAGTGATGACCCCCAAATAGTAGTTGAATCCAATGAGGTGTTCTTTGATGTTGCCTTTTCTTGATCCGTGTTTTATGTCTCTTTGTGAGACCGAGTGCAGTCCATGGCACGCAGCGCGTTGAGCCCGACTCTTCCAGGCAGCCGAGTCTGAGTGAGTGACCGTTTCTGCGGCATCCCTGCATGCACTTCCTCCTGCCCTGCATCCCATTGGTGAGGCCATCTGAGAACTGCCCGTTACAATAGTACCTTGCTGCAGATTTTTACTCTCAGCCTTTTAGTATCATCTTCAGTTTAACTTAGATAGATTTGGGGAAATTTTCCTGAAGCAAATTCCTTCAGTACCCTTAATCAAAAATGTCAGAGGATACCAGTGAAGATCCTGATGTGAAGCCGGGTGGCAGGATGTCTCGATGGTCTTTGTGGGCTTCCCTTGCTGCCTCGAGTATGAATGGGCAGTGTTTAAGATGCCATTGGAGCTCTTTCACCAAACTCAGTACCAAATTTACTATCTGCACAAGGATTTGCAACTGACAGGAGCAGCACAATCACAGGGATGTGAAGTTCCTTAGAGAGCAACCTCTGGACACCTGCTACCCATGCACACCTACAATCTGTTTGTTATTGTCTTAGGGAAGTGAGGGTACGATGTTAGGTGACCACCACAGTAAGCTGGTTTGGTGGCAAACTTCAGGATTAGTTATCAGAGTGAAAGGTGGGAGGGCCCAGAGGATGACACCAACATGTGTTCCAACAGACAATGTCCAGAGAAAGTTAATTTTCCAACTTCCTTCGGTTGTTAATTTATGACAAGGCGATTTTATCAGGTCTGAATTTGGATGAGGTTTCCATGACTTGAGTATCGATCTGCCTTTTTGCACTATGTTATAACTATCAATAAGTAATCTGTTCATTGGACTGAGCCTCCCTCTGTCCCTGCAGCAACAAAATCCCTGGATTCCGTTTCTCCCAGTGGAGAAAGACCGAGGCGAACACAGCCTCATTTGGGCTCCAGTTTGGCTATTTTCAAATTTTCTGGCTATATTAGGCCATAGTGTTTATGGGTCTGATGTGCAAGCCACACAGAATCAAGAGCTCTAGGGAAAACTTTGCAGGGCCCCCTGGTGGGGTGAGTTCCCCTCCCCTCAGAAGAGAGGGGACCTGGACTCACCCGAAGGACAGCTTCTTGACTCATTGTTACAGAAGAGCATTTCAGGACACATCCGTGTGAGACATAGGGGAGTATTAGGCAGAGTTAGAAGCGAGAGAGAATGGGGAAGGGGAAGATAGCTCTGATGGGAGGGTCAGGCTGAAAGGGTGAGGCCAGCTCTCATGCATGTGCTGGGTAGGTTAGGATCTGACTGACCATGATCTCGGTTCTCATCTCGCACGATGAGCAGAAGTCCTTGTTGCTTAATGGACTGGCCAGCAGATGATTGTTCCTGCTCGGGGAAGTCTCAATTTTGTGGAGGCCCTGTTGGAACCCAGGAGCCTGTAGGTTTAACAACACATTGGTTGGGGGCTTCTGGGCACTCATTTGTAATTAAATGTCCCTGTAAATCGGTGTGGTTGTCCTCTGAAGGGGGATGGGATGGGTTTACGTAGATTTATGGCTATTCGAGCCGTATAACTGAATTTTAGAGAATGATTAATAGGCCGATATATACAGAGCCAAGCAGGGATCTGACCCGAAGTTTTTAGGTAATAAATGAGACAGACCCAAAATGAAGGCCAAGCTTTGTTCCACTGTTAGTTGCAGGCTGGGCATCTGTAGGTCCATGGGAACAATTTTTCTTGTCTTTTTGTTTAAATCAAAACAGCTACTGAGTCCCCAGGTGCCTCAGAAGAAACCACGTCATGTTATTAATGAGTGACAGATTCCGGGCCCAGGAGTGAGTTTGCCCCTGATCCTTACCAGCTGAGGTTTAGAAACAAAACACTGGAAAGCATCGCTCCGTGGCATGAGATGAGTTTTTAGCAAATTGCTTTGTGTCTAAGTTCATTCTTTTTTGCTCCTGTGTTTGTCCCTGTATCTGCCGTTAAGATTTTTTTAAATATTAAGAAAAGCTAATTCGGTTTACATTCAGTCTGTCAGTCTCCAGTCTGAGATGCACTTTCCCAGAACTCCGTTTTGCCTCCTCTTTCCACAATTTAATCAGGCGTTAAGGTGCAAAATCTGGTTCTCTGCAGAGCCGCTCATAGGAAGAGGAATTAATTTACACCGCCTGGTGTTGAGGATGTAATATGATTATGTTAGCAAAGCTAAAAAGGGAACATCTACAAAGCTCATTTAAAAGTTCGAAAGAGGTCAGCGGTAGAGCAGACAGATGAACGGAAGGCCAAGTCACTTAGCAGCTACTGAACTGGGAGGACATCAGGCGGGGGTGCACATGGCTGGGAGAAGATCACTGAATTCTAATCAGAGGGTTCAAGGCCAAAGGTCAGGATTCTACAGTGAGAGCATGTGTGAGTCTGTGCAAAATGACGGGGAGGATTAGTAAGCGGAAGTCAACCAGCTCTCGGTCACTTCGCCCCGTGTCCATCAGCCTTTCCATCACTGGGACAAGGTGCCCGATGTACATAACTCAGAGAAAAGGTTGATTTGACCCACAGTTTCAGTAGCTTCAGTTCGTGGTCTCCTAGCTGTGAGGCAGGAACATCATGGTGGAAGCAAAGCTGTCACTTTGTGGTACCCAAGAAGCACAGCACAGGGGATGAGGCACAGGGACAGGCAGGACCCCAGGACCACTGTCTTCTGGGACCCCTTCCTCCAGTTGGGCCCCACGTCTGAACAGCGGTGGTTTAGCCCACTGAAGAGGACAGCACCCCACGGTCCAGTCACCTTTCCAGGAGTCTCTCCATCCAGAGGACAACTCAGCGTAATCACTGAACCCCAGGACTCTTGTGCTGGTGGCCTTCACTGCACGCTCTTAGGCCTTCCCTTTTGTTACCAGAAAACATCTACCTGCAAAGGGCAGACACATTTCTATATTTTAGCAAAAATCTACAGTGATGAAATGCATTAAAAAGATGTCTAAAATTAAGTTTTACAGTCTTAGAATCATGAATCTAAAGTTTACACTGACATCTTTACTATGTCTAAAGAGTTCTGTCAGTTGTTGTGACATGGAAAAAATTGGAGGGAAAAACCTACGCAACTAAACATAACCTATTAATTTAGCCATAGGTAAAATGATACCATAGGCCATAGCTTACCACTGTGAAAGAATTCTCAGAATGTGTGTTCTGGTGAGTAGGTTATCTAATAATGAGAAATATAAAAAATTAATTTTTATTTAAAATTATACATTTACGTCAATCAGAGTACCTACAGTTTAAAGTGAGCAAAAGTTTTCACACTAGGTAAACTGAGCAACATTTTGAGTTTGAAATGCTAAGGTGAGTGTGCAGTTCCAAGCAGAAAGAGTTGTGGATGATTTGTGCCACGGTGCAAGGCTGCACTGGGTGAGTTTTAGGTGGCTTCTTTTTAACCTGAGTCATTTCTATGTTATTCTGACCCTCCCTAAGTTGGAAAAGGTGTGTAAGTGTAGAAAGAGTGGATTTAAACTTAGGGTAACTCTCCTGCTGTCTGGAAAACTCAATTTTAGCTCTCCTTTAAATCATGGTCAGCTCTCTCTCTCTCTCTGTCACCACGATAATCATTAAACAAAATAATGTGATAAAGCACACTCTGCTGAAAAATGATACACATAACCTAGAACAAAAGGTAGTTGAAGTATCTGATTTTTCCTTTAAAATGCAGAAAGCTAAAATCTTGAACTCCAACACTGTGTCTGACAACAGCCTGAGTTTCTAAAAGAAAACACCTTTTGAGCTGTGACTGGAGAAGTGAAAAAACTTCAGAGTGGTAAGAAGTAGATGACACGGGAGTCAGATGTCAGGTTTCTGGGAAGGGAGATGAATTCTCTGCTGGTACAGTGAGGGTAGGCGGGGTCTCTGTGGACTCCCAGGGCTCCAGCTCACGGGACTGAGCAGAGAAGGCACAGCAGGAAGGGCTGTGATGCAGGGCAGAGTGTCCAGGTGGCGAGGAGGCGGGGCTTCATCTGCAGGGAGATGCACCATTCATTCCTGGGCTGCAGTGTGACCCTGGGAAGGCAGAGAAGCAGGGCTGCGGAGAAATGCCCTGGCAGCTGGGCCTGTGGGCCACCTCACAGAGTCCCCAGGCCCTTGGGGTATGTGGGAGAGCAGCCCCAAGAAGGGCACAGACTGGTTTCAATAAACATTGAACTCCTGGTTTCCTAGGCTGGACCAAAGGATGCAGAATGTACATTTCTACCTGAGATTACGGTCACTGCCGTAGGTTGCAAAAACTTCTGCCTGGAATTGAGGATGCCCAGTCCAGTGGCTGTGGTTCCAGTGCACACTGAGGAAACAGGACAGGCTACAGCCCCATGCGTATTCTGTAGCCCACGTGGGTCTTGAACTATCAATGATCCTCCTGCCTCAGACTCCCAAGTGGCATGTGCCACCATGCTTGGCAGGAGGAGACTTTGTGTCCTGCAGCTTCAGGTAGGAGTTGTATTCTGGAAAGGAACAACCAGGGCAGGGGAGGTGGCTTTTTAATGGTAAAAGGGTTGCATGTCCCTGGAGCCCATGGAAAGGACGAGGTTGGCTTCTTTGAATAATTCTGCAGGCAGACACAGCTGAGCTGAGCAGAACTGTGTGCCTGGTTCCTTCAATGAGGAGGGCGGGGTGGTTTGGAGTCTCATCTCAGGAGTGGAGTAGAAGGTGAGCCGTGGAGAGGCCACCTGAGACCTCATCAGGTGCCGAGTTCTTCATTCTGTCCTACGCCACGACTGACCCCTTGCTTTCTTGACATCAGTTTGAATCTTGATCACCTACACTTTTAGGGATGGGCAGTGTTATTACTGCAAGGAGCAAAGTGACCACCTGCCCAGGAAGGAGAGGGAAGCATCCTCAGGCAAGCACCAAAGACGGGAACTTTAGAGGTGTCCTCAAGGACAGCCAGAGACTTAGAGATCATGTGACACCCAGGCAAAAAGAGAGAATTTCAGAGAGCAAGGCTCATGCCTGTGTCAGGCAGAGGGCGAGCCCAGAGATTTCCCACCTTGTGATTTAAAGTGGCTGCCTCCAGCTGTGATTGCCCCGGCCCTCAGGGAGGCTGAATTCCCTCCTTCACCTTCTTCAAGACTCAGGTGCAGGTGTGTGGGCTGGGCAGTGGAAGGAGTAGCCTGGCATTATCTCTAATCTGGAAAACTCCAGGGAGATGAGTGCCCTGTGAGTGCCCTGTGAGGCTTTGAAGGCAGCCTTAGCCTGCATAGAGAAATCTTTGACTTTGTTTTAGATACGGGTGAAGTGAGAGATACCTGAGGTTTTTATTTTAAGGACCCTTTGGCAATGACCTGGCAGTTTGTGTAAAAGTACCGACAGGACCATTGGCTGGGCCTCCTGCACTAAGAGGAAAGGAGCACCTTGGTGACACCAAGCCTTGGGCTCTGTCTGGGCTAAGGAACATAAAAAATCAGCTCTCCACTGAGCTCCGTCATGCACGATGGTGGAAGGTCAGCGTTGCTCATGCACTCTGAGAAAGGGGGCTTCCTTCTGCATGTGCTGTGTGGAAAGAGACTGGGAAGAGAGGAGGCCACTTCCTTATGCAGTTAGACTATGCAGAAAGCCCAGCTTGGCCCCATCCTGCAGCCAGGAGGTCTCAGGAACCATGCTAAGCTCATGGGGGTCCTGCACAAGGACTCAAACTATGTGGGTAGCTGGGCACTCAGGGTGGGGGGTCAAGGCCTCTGAGTCTCTTTATTCCCAGAGAAGCCCAGTAGGTAGCCAGTAATGGCCACTCTCCTGGAGTATGGGTGGCTTCAAGCAGGAAAGTCAGTTTCTTGTATGAGAAATCCACGGGCAACTTGTGACCACAGTGCATGGTCCAGAGTGTCCAGGGAGCATGAGATGAAGTAGCTAAGATTTCTGAGATGCCCTTTGCTCAGAGTTGTGACAGGCTGGACATCCCTTGCTGGAGAGATTTCCCCTCAAGATGGCCAATCTGTCAGCAGTAGCATTAATGACATGTTGCTTCAGAACCCAAAGGAGACTATAGAGCACGACTTCGGCTTGTTGTTAACCCGGGGCTTCAGAGGACCAGAACCTGTTTCCTGATGTAGCGTCAGGCTGTGTGAGGGAGTGACCTATGTGCTGTGACCCTTTCTGTATCCCGAATGACTGTGTCCCTGGATGAGGGTGCCATCCGTGTGATATCACACTTGTGCTTCTGGAGAGAAATCGAAGATGTGAAGCTCTTGACTGTAGCTCTTGACCGGTGGTGCTCAGTGGCCTGCAGGCACTGCTGAAGGTGTGTGGAGTCTTGTTGGAGGAAAAGCAAACTGTGGAGGCTGCGGCTGGAGAGATAGCTCAACGGTACAGCAGCTGCCTGGCGAGTACAAGGTCCTCAGTTCAATTCCCAGCACCAAAAATAAATAAAAATAAACAGAAACAAACAAATCTGCCAAGACTGCTGAAATGGGCACTGAACAGATTGTAGTAGTCCAAGTTGTAGGAGTAAAATGTCTACAAATTAGATTAACGAGGAGAGTCTACAAAATGATTAACGAGGAGAGGCCAGTGGTTAGGGGAGAGGGCTGCACGGGATCGAGACCATGGCGTTAAGGTTGCAGTGTTTCACCAAGGCAGATTCATTTCTTCCCAAATAGGCCACTTTGGGGAAAGGAGAGAAGCAGTGGGGAGAATCACCCCTTACGCACAGCTGTTACCTAACGGGCTTCAATCTTAGGGGCCTGGTTTGAATTACATCAGGCCTTGTTCATTATTTTAACATGGGATAGGGGAAGGGGAGTCATGAGTTCCCATTTTCTTAAACCCATTTGTAACTGTCAAAGGCCTAATTTAGTTTGCATTTATTTTTCATTGAGTCAGAGACTGTCTGGGCCCCTGATGGGATATTTTAGGGCAAAGCTGCAGCATCACTACCGGGAGTTTAACAAGACAATGTCTCTGCTAGTTAGGTGATAGTAATTTGTCCTTTATTTTATATTTAGTCGTTCCGTCACAATTAGGTGGGAAATCATGCTTAAATTTAGCAGATACCCAGGTATAACCAGGGATTGAACCTTGTGTTGGTTAAAGCACTGATGGTTTTCCCATTGGTGCCTTTCAACAGAAACCAGGTTTACTTCAGAGCCTGTATTGCAGAGGCACGAGTGTCCATCAGTGCCCCTTTATCCTTGCTATACAAAATCTTTTAATAAGTTCTGGATTTTCCCAGTTGGGTCACATTGTAGAACTTGGTCACAGGTTGCTGTTGCTGTTTCTTCTCCCTGGGTCCAGGTTTTACCCTCTTCCCCTTACACTCTCACTGTTAGTGGTCACTGGACGCATCCAGCAGAGGCCAGTGCGGGTCTTTTCTGCCCTGACTCGTTTCCAGGTCTCCTCCTCTAGAGAGCCTGGGATTGGTGTCATGCAGTTTGGGGTCTCATCCATGGCGGTAGTGGACTTGCATGGTGAACTGAGCTGAGGTTGACTCCCCGCCTCTCCAGGTGTTCCTTGAGGGTGCCCAGGGTGTTCCCCCTCACCCCAGGTGTTAGCTTCCCTGACCCCCAGAGACAAAACCAGTGATGCTTGCACGAGGAGGGCTGGCCCGCAGCTCAACCTCTGGGGACTAAACTCCCTTCTCCCGCAGCCCCATTTCTTCTGTGGTAGTTTGGTTATTTCCTTTTGTTTCCTCCTCCTCTGTCTTTTATTTGCTCCCTTTTTCCTCCCCTCCCTCCCTTCCTGTCCTCAGGAATCCCCTGAGAGTGTTTGCATCACCTGCAGCACAGACCTCTCAGGGGTGCAGGGGTGCTCAGAGCATGGCCCCTGCAGGCAGTGGAAGCACTGGTGGGCCCCCTGGGTGAAGTCCACATGCATCTGTGCTTGGCTGGCTGCCAGCTGTTGGCCAGACTTCGAGATGCCCTTGGGTGCTGACAGCAGCTGTCCCACACTGGCTCAGGGGTCGTGGGCGTGGCCTTGTGAGGTCAGTCAGGTACCAAACGTCCTGTCCTCTTTCTCCCCACCCTTTTGATTTCCATCAGCGCCTGAGCCGGGGCCACCATGAGCGGGCACCTCGATGGCTTTGGGGGTCAGGAGAGCACAAGTGCCAGCCACACGGGAGGCGACAACACGGGACAGCGACAAGGTCACTACCGCCACATGGACACCAGCCATGGTCCATGCTCCTCACAAACCCCGCCAAGGTGCCCGGGCTTGCCCCATGGGTGCATAGCTACAGAACAGGTCTACGAGGTGCCCCAGCAGCCAGGGATAGCCAGCAGGCCCAACACCGGGCCAGAGGGCCCAGGAGAGCAGGGCTCAGTGCTGACCACTGAGGACGCGTGTTCTCCCTGCCCTTTGGTAGCTGCCAGCTGCCACTTGACCTGGCACCATGCCCCCGGGTGGCAAGACGGTTCTTGTACCAGGGAAGAGCAGGCTGGTGTGGAGAGAGAGGACAGAGGCAGCACAGTGTCCCCAGCCCATGGCCAGGGCCCGGCGCCTAGCAGCCCTGGCTTGGGAGCCTGTGAGCCAGGAGTGGTCACTGGGAGCTGTTGGGTGTGTTGTGTGGCCCCGAGACACCGGTGACATCTAAGGTTTCTTATTTGCCCTCGGGTGCAGGAGAGAACCCCACTTTGGGCCAGCTGGGGCTGAACACGGACACCACCCTGGATGCGAGGGACCCGGGAGCGCTCACTGGCCACACAGCCTCTGCGGGCAGGAAGGACTCCCAAGATGGGGAGCAGGGTGAGCACCGGGGAGCTGTGGGAGGAGTAGGACCCAGAGGGGTGGGGGCCCCTGGACAGGGGCGGCTGTTTTGGGGGCGCCTTGCCGTGGGCGAGAGCGAGTGAGGAACATGAGACTGTACTGCTCCAGACCTCAGTTTCCCAGATGTCAGGGTGGCCAGGCGTGGGCTTAGTGTGGGGGCCCAGGGAAGGGGGGCTGTGTGGCCGGGCACCCCTGAGGAGAAACACAATGCGGAATTACACGGCTTTACTTTGACTCTAGGATCCTTCTCTATGGAGAAGGAAAACTGGGACCCTGAGTTCTGATACTGTTCATCAGTCTTGTGGCTGCATGGCTGCACATTTTTAGGGATGGGGACCCAGTGACTCCGGGACTTTGCTGTTATTTGAATGAGAAGAAGTTGAGAGTGAAAGCCAAAACTTACTTTCCGGGCACTTTGCATGGCTGAATGTCCAAACAAATAATCATTACCAAAGCCAGCATCCAGCTCTTTAAAACGTAGGGTAAAATACTTTGAGGACTGTTTTTCGATGCGTGTCAGGCATCTTCAAAAGCCCAGGACAAAAAGTCAGCCTCCTGGGAGACAGCTGACAGCCACCCTCGAGGGCTGACACGGCTTCCTTCCGGGTGACTCTCAACTTTTGTTGGACTTTTACTTACATTTGCTCTTCACTTGCACGAGAGATTTATTTGTTAAGGGTTCTGGAGTCTGGGGTTTCCAAGATCAGGAGCCCAGCTGACTCCATTCTCCTGCTAGCTTCTGATGGTCATTTTTGTGATAGAGAGAAAGGACCGTTTTGAATTTGAAAAGCTGACTCTGGTAACAAGAGAAGAGATGCAAGCACCATTCAAAGTGGGGGACTTGATGGGGGCCCAGAATAAGGCTTAGACAGCTGCAGGGGGGGGACGATCAGGAAATGGGTAATGAGACAAATCCCTGATCTCCAGAGAAAGACCTCCTGAAAACCTGAAGACGGGCTAGCGCTGCTGTCACGTGAGCCATCAGAAGGTTTTCATGTGGTGTCTGCATACAGATCTGCATATCGACGAATTTTTCAAATACCTTTTCCTAGTGTCCACTTTGCCTTGGAGGAAGCAGGGTAAAGGCTCTCCTGATACTCTCTGTGCCAAAGTGGAATCTCACACAGGGTGGGCAGCATGCAGCTCTGCGGTCTGTGATCTGACAAAGCTGCGCTGAGAGTATAAAGACAATCAATTAGACCTGCCTCACACTCAGCAGGCCAAAGTTCAGACTCTGGGTTTCAGGTCAGTTTAAGTGAGAAGTTTTAGAGAAGCATGATGGGCCTCTAAAAGGCCCACAGGGAATTCATCACCCTCAGGTGGATTCTGCAGGAACAATAATTAGACCAAATTGTCCCTAGAGCACTTTTAAAGTACTCTTCTTAAAGCACCACGTTTGAAAAGGAAAATGAAAATGCGTATTTTAATGTTGTTATTGTAATAGGAAGATGTTTATAAGAGATAACTTTAACATTCTAAGCAAAAGGACTAGAAGTAAATAGTTGTGTGATAAGATTATAATTCTTATTTTAATTTTTGAAGTATGATTTTTTTTTTTTTTTTTGTCTTTTTGAGACAAGGTCTCACTATGCATATAGTTCAGGCTGGTCTTGAGGCTAGGCTGGTCTTGAACTCACAATGATCCTCCTGCCTCAGCCTCCCAAGTGCTGGGATTACAAGCATGCACCAACACACCGGGCAAAATATTATTTTTTTTTTGAAGCAGGGTGTCCATATATTACCCACTTGAGTCATCTCCTGGCTTGAGTATCCTCTTGCCTCAGCCTCCTAATAGCTGACAGGTATGCTAGTATTTTTTATCTTGAGAAAAAACAAAGCAATCAAAATATAAGCATAAATGACTAAGAAATAAAATACTACAGTATAATGAAGCTATGTAGCTTTCTAAATATGAAAAATGTAAAAATTGGAAAGAACTGAGTATATAGGTTATGTAGCAGATCAAACACAGCTGAAGAGAGAAGTAGTGAACTGGAAGATAAATCCTTCAGATTATCCAGAATGAACACAGAGAAACCAAGAGCAAAAAATGAAGGAATGATATGAAATGAGATTGTGTTCCATACATTTAATTAAACTTCCCAAGATAAAAGCCAATATTCAAAAATACCATACCTAGTAGTTATTTAGAATTGGTGAATGTCTCCAAGTCACGAATCTCAACAAATCTTAAGGTCTTCCCAAAGAAAGAAAATCCCAAGAATGCATTAGTTACTGTTTCTCATCCAGTGTGGGTGGCCTCTTCGGGTCCACTGAGGGTCGATACAGAGCCAGAGGTGGGAAGGGACAATTTGCTCTCTCTGCCTGGCTTTGAGTTATGACATCAGCCTCCTACCCTTGGATTTAGAGTTGGATTGGAACTTGCAAAGACTGGGTATTCCTGATTCTGAGATTGGACTCTAACTGGAACCACACCAGCTGTTTTGGGACTTCTCAAGAGAGATAACCAGCAAACTACTGATTTCTGAGTTAGGTAGAGGTTTGCATTGTTCATTAAACCTGCCTGAGTGAAAATGCAAAGCACACTGGGAAACAGTCTTTGATAGTTAACTGATTGCAGCTGTTTGAGCAAGAAACGCCCAACTGATGGATCAGCATAGCACTGGGTGTGGCTGACGGGATTTACTGAGGACAGAAGACCCACCCTGGGTGTGAGTGCCTGCAAGCCGTAGGCTGAGTGGAGGAGAAGGGGAACCAGGAAGCAAGTGTCTTCCGAGGAGTCCAGTCTTCGCCTTCGCTGTGGATATCGTCTCCTGGCTCCAGCGCGGATCCTTGGGCTTCCTGAGATGGACGCACATGGGACTGTCCAGGGGGCTGCAGGCGTCCGGCTGGCCCCTTCGGTCTCCAGCGTGCACACAGACCATCTGTGCTCTTCTGCATCGGACACCGCTGGCGGCCACCGTAAGCGATCCTGCCGGTCTTTACCTATTTGTATACCTTACATTAAACTCTAGGGAGCACTGACCCATGAACCCTGTCACTTGAGTCTGTTCACTTCTCCTAGAGTTTCATCCTGAACTATTATGAACACCATTTGCTGTTTCTACGCTCACCAGTTTTCCCATCACTATTAAGTTTTCTGCCGTTTCCTCTTGGTGACTTCTCCAGGGTCACCGGGAATGGTCAGCAGTTGAGACTGTTTTTCCATAGGTCAAGGGACAACATGTGTGTCTGCCTATTTCCTTTACTTTTGTCTTTATGTTTTTAATAAGAAACCACTCTTGGTCTTTTGCATTTACGTATGAATTTTGGAAGCATCTTATGGCTCCTAAGTAGGAGCGTTTGCCTACACAACTGCCCCTGCGGGCTTCTAACTGCCTCTCCTTCATTGGCCTCTAATTTACACAGTGAACCTCATTGGTGGCTTAAACATTTTTTATGGTTCAAGTGCTTAGAGGAAGAAATGCGCAGGTTTATTTTAATGACTCGTTTTCCTTATAATTTGAGTCCCAGTGATAACAATAGTCCATCTTCATAATGTTCTGTCTGCCAAATATTTCCTCTGTCTCTGTCGAGGATTCGCCTCACCTTGTCTTCTCTGTGAGTTACCTGAGCTATCTCTGACTCCGCAGCCTCTCTCTACCTGCACAAATCCCTCCCTGCACGTGGTCTCCCACTGATAACCCCACAATCTCCATTTCCGTACGATTTCTCTATACCCATATTGGAGTTTCGATTCCCTTGTGTATGCTCATTCAGTCTGCACAATCAGCTGTGCATTCCTTCAGGGCGGGGACTGTGTTACACCCCTGTGTGCATCCTCTGCCTCCATCACAATCTGTAATCTTGTCATCCTCCTGCCCCACCCCCACCAGAAGCCTGCACTGACCAAAGGACATAGTAGATGATTTTAGTTTTTGATTTTTCTTTGCTGGGTCTTATTTTTAAGTTTTTAGTGCATGTTAATTAGTGATTTTGTTATGCTGATTTATGGGCTTTTAACACACCCATGCCCTCCTCCCTGACCCCTGCTCTTCTCCGAGCTTCCCTTCCAGGAGATGTTTAATAACTCTTGCCTGCATGGTGGAGGGGCCCTTGCTCAGGACCTGGAGAAGTTTGCCTGGAGGAGGAGCGGCCGGGCCACGTGAGCGATCCTCTTGCCTCTGTTACTTGCCTGTACCGTGTCATTTTCCAGTCTTCAAAATGAAGATGTAGCTGGCACAGCAAAAGGGAACTTGGAAAGTTAAATAGTTTTTCTTGGGACAAACACTTCTCCCACCTTCCACTGGCCTGCATGCGACAGCCACCCTGGCTGTCCTCGGGCGGGGGATGAATGGAAGCTGCAGATGCCCAGGGCTGCCCTCAGCTTCTGCAAGGGGAGGGAGGGAGTTGACCCAGCATGCAGCCCGGAGAGGTGTGAAGGACTCCTGCACTCCTGCACTCAGCGAGCCGCAAGTGGACCTCTCCGCCTTCTCACAACTCTCTGAGCGAAACCTTTTTTCTTTTCACCATAGTCTGTAGTCTTCTGTGATTTTGTTAGTGGACCTGAGCTCACAGCTCTGTGGTGGGGAACAGAAGTAGTAATGACGATCCATACAGTTCTTCTGAATGTGCTTTGGAACTGTGTGCTTCATATTTTTAACATTTTCTATGTTATAGCCAGGCATGGGGGTGCATACCTGTAACCCCACGGCTCAGGAGGCTGAGGCAGGAGACTTCAGTGACTTCAAGGACAGCCTGGGTTACATAGTGAGTTCAAGGCCAACCTCACCTAGGGAGTGAGACCTTGTCGCCATGAAAAAGTTTATGTTATAAAACTCTCCATTTAAGCCGGGCATGGTGGCACACTGCTGTAATCCCAGAACTTGGGAGGCTGAAGCAGGAGGATAGTTGCAAGTTCAAGACCAGCCTGGGCTACAAAGTGAGCTTAAGGCCAGCCTAAACTGCATAGAGAGACCCTGGCTCAAAAAGATTAAAAAAAAAAATTATATTCATAGAGAAGTTAGAAAACAATAAAC